ACAGGATTCATCCTGGTCAGATACCCGAACTACTTAAACTGGTTCCTTTCGATGATGAGGATTAGTGGGCCGCCTCTTTGCCCCTCCCAGAGTTCCTCATCCCATCCCCGAGGCTGAGCCCAGACACCCTTGGGCAGAATCTCATTTCTCTTGCTTTTATCCACCACCTCATTCTTTCTATCACCACTGAAGGTTTGTGGCCATTTCCCAGTAGACTGGCTTTGCTCTTCAATCTCTTTCTTCACTCGCAGAGAAGAACTCAGAATACGTCTCTCTGTGGGAGCAACTCGCTCCTGACACTCCCCTCTTTCCACCTGAGAACTATGCCCTCAGACTTTGAGGCGCTAATTTTCATTCAATCTGCTCCAACCTCGGCCGCCACCTGACGAAGTCAATAAAACCATCATCCCCAAGAAGCAGAGACGAGATCCTGAGACCACTGAACCGGACGCCCACTTAACCCTCGGATTGGTTCCAAGAAGCTTCCTGGTTACTATTTTCATCATGCTGACAATTCAGGGTTAGTTTGGATGCAGGTAACAGGTCTCTGAGGAATAGACTGAATATACTGGCATCAGTTGTCGTTTTTTATTTTAGCTTCCTGTTGTTTGTGAGCAAGGTTTCTTTGTCATCATCTAAGCCTCCGTGTTTTGGACTTTCTTATATCAGGCCCCTCTTTGTTTCTTTGGCCCAGATTTACTGGCTGCATCTGAAACATTGGCCATCTTTCCCAGAAGCCATGTCTGCAGGCAGTAGCTCCCAGATTCAGGAATCCTGAATGGACTATCCAGATATTCCAGTCATAGAGATGCGTAACAGTAACTCAGGCGTATTAAGGACTTAATGTTGTGGGCTGACATGAGTGCTCCAGTAACTGAGTACTGTGATAAAGTCTGAAGTCAAGCTTCAAAAACATGCACATCAACCAAACCCCAGCACTCATAAATATCCTCTTCCTCCTCCCCATCCTCTTCCTCCAGGTGTTTGAGGACGACTGCATCCTGTCCCAGGCTACAGACTCTGGTTGTCCTTCGGAGAGTCTTTTAGAAGATGAGGGAACAGCTGAAAAGCAAAATGTGGACCTCCCCGCATCGTCAAACCATCCTAAAGGTAAACCAACATCTCTGACCTGAAGGAGTCGATTTGATCAGTTACTCACAAAAGAATTAAGATCAAAACCATAAACCTCTCATCTGCCTCCTCCTCAGACCCTCCCTCACCCATTCACCATCCTCCTCCTCCATCCTCTCCTACCCATGAGCACCTGGGGCTGGAGTGGGACCCGTCAGTTGACATTGGACGCTCTGTCTCCCGTGACGACGCCGACTCATCGTATTTCAGTGCCAGCACAGGTAAGAAGATGCCTCACCTTACACGGGAATACCGCCTTAAGAAATCTAAGGTGGCACCGTGAGAATGCAGATTTGTTCTCTCAACAGAATTTTTTTTTTTCTTCTGCAGGTTTGAAGAGGTGGAGCTACCTGAGTTCCTTTGACTCTCGGTCTGACATCAGCGCCGACATCGGGAACCAGGAGGGAGACTTGGTGAGTTAAAGTCTAACATTGATCCATTTCCACAGGTTAGTAGAAAGAAATCTTGATTGTGATCTGCAGTGAACCCCGCAGACTTCCTGCTGCACAAACTCTTGGAAATATTCCACTTCTGCTGCCCATTTGTCATTTATGTCCTTTAATTTACTTTGTTACTCCGTGCTTCTCTTTCAAAGGATGGGAATCGCCCGACTGCGGTGACTTCACTGTAATTTGTTATTGATCAAACTGTTACAGAGTCAATAGTTCATCTATATTTTGGTGATGGAGGATACTGTGATACATTTATTCTATTCCCTCAAACAAACCGTAAACTCCAGTTTTCTGATTTGACACGCACAAAGTGGCACAAAAGTGGAAGCAGCTCGTCCGTTACCGGCCTCTAAGGA